TGGCATCGTGTTTGTCTTGGTGCATCGAGCTGAAAGGTTCCTGCCGTTGCTCCAGCGTGCGTACGGCTGTGAAGCTGTTCCTCTCGGGTCTTGACACGTCCTTGAAATATCCCCGTCCTCTTTTAATGGTTGTTGTGGCGCTTCAGCACTTCATTTCCATCACGAGATCCTTGTGGTGACCACGATATGGGACAAGGAGACCGGGAGGACCTCGACGTAGCTGGCTGCTCTGTCTCAGGATCTCGGAACAGCGCTGACTGAGAGAACCTCTGTTCGACATGAGACTTCCCTTTCGGGGTATTTCAGCATTTCACACGAGGAAGGTGCCATCTGGCCCACCTGCCATCCCGTCCAGAGCGGTTTGGTCCTCACTGCCGCCCTTGGCAGAGCGCCGGGGGCGCTGTGTCTGTCTGTGCCAACACGTTACTTCGGCATGTTGTTGGGCTGACAGGACAGGCTGAAGTGCCGCCCCGGCACGCTGTGCCACGCTGCTGTTGCACACCCTGCTCTGTACCGGGGAGATCCGGGAGCCGTCGCTCTCACAGATGAGGTTCGAACCCTGGAATATCTCTGCTGTGACATTACAACAACATGCTACTGGGGTATTGGTTCTCCTGAGCAGTGTGGAAGGTGACCTCTCTGCCTTGTTCTCTGTTCCTTTTTGGCTCTTTCAGGTCATAGCTTACAAGGCAAATCCGTTTCTGTTCATACTGCTTCCCTCTGGCCACAGCTGGAGTTCGTAGAAAACGGGCCCATGTTGAGCAGTATGAACAAGGCAAAGGAGCAGGGAACGCTTCTCTCTCTGAACCTGAAATATGTGTTACACTAGCTCCAGAAACCACGTTAGTTATAAAAGTAGTAACACTGCAAAGGGAAACCTCTGTCTTTTCTCACTTTCTTGCAAAAATTGCTTCAGCCTGAAGGGTTTTGCCTGGACAAACAGTCTGCCTTGCTCTGGAAAACAGCTTTGCCAATGCAAAAAGCTCAGGTTCTTCTGCCCGTGTTCTGTGAAACGTGGCTGTTGCTTTGTTCCGTGTGTCCAAAAGCTGGAGTCCAGAATGAAGGGAGGGAGTGCTGGAGTCATCCAGGAATACAAGTGTGAGAGTGGGTAATTGGTCAACCTCTCTAGCTTTTGAGAGAAAGGTTATTCTCGTGCCTGAGAAGCAGAGACTAGTGGAAGGAAAGCAGCCACTGGGAAATTTAAACTGGAATCTAATCTCCCTTTGTTCTCCCCAAGAGTAAATGGCCTGTGGATTAGGATCCTTATTCCAGCATCACAGTGCACAGTCAAAATAAATGGAGTTCACTGCTGTGACCTCTCATGGTCCCCAAAACTGTCACCAGCAACAGGAGCATCTACACCTGGCTGAGCACCTGGTAGCACCTCGGTGCCTTTCTGACCCGCGCAGCGCTGCTGGATTCTGTGCCTCCTGTGTGACGTTTGGATTTGAAGTCTCGGACTGCAGCTGCGTCACTCTCAAGCGAAATCAGTGTAATGGGGAATATTCTCTCTGTTATCATTTCTATTTTTAAGCCACATCTGCCTTCCTCCCCTACTCCTTTGACTTGTTTCCATGGTCTTCTGAATTTGTAAATAATCTGAGGGATCATTCAGTTTCACGCAGGTCTAAGTCTGGGTGTGGAATGGCCTTTTTGCTTTGTCTGTCGCTTGTTTCTTCTTTTCCCACCCCAAACACAGCAGTGCTAGTGATTTTATGGTGATTCCAGCTCGCAGCAGTTCCCACTTGCTCTAGTGCTACGTTACTGCTTCAGGGAAATAAACTCGTGATTAGTTACTGAATTATCATCCTGTCGTACTACTCATTTCAGCACCTGATCATTAATAACAGATCTCATCGTTCCTGAAGTATTCTTGACACCTTTTCAAGCCAGCCTATCTGCTGCTAACTGTTTCAGCCTTTGTTTTCAGAATCCTTTGCTCGCAGCATCTTATTGATCCCCATGTGAAGGAGGCACGGTCGATATATAGATCATTGTCTCAGGAAAGAGAGTTCTGTAGATCACTCGAGACTAGAGGAAGTAAGTGTAGACCACACCCTTACCCTTTTCATGAAACTGGAGTTGTTTGCTTGGAACGATTTATCCAAGAGGGTTTTATACTTGGTCACATTCCAGCAAAGCCCAACAAAGGGGCATTGACACTTTCCTGAGTTCCAAAGCTGTTTCCCAGTGCGACCATCCTCACAGTAGAGGCTGTCTGAATCCTTTCCATCCCTTTCTCCTTTCATTATATCGTCGTCTCCTCCCTTTTCTTAGTGCACATGGTCACTGGGCTCTGTCTGCAGCCAGACAGAGTGATCCCCAGTGGGGTTATCTTGCTGCTCACAATCGGACCCTTGGGGCTGGTGAGCTGGCACACGGCGTGTGCTCCGCTTGGGCTGGAGGCATCCTCTTTTCACCCCTCCTGGTGGAGGAAGGAGCAAGAATTCCACAGCTGCTTCACCGATCCTGTCCCTCCCTCTCGGTCCTCTCATGTAGCAATGTCTGCTGCTGCCTTCCAGGCCAACCGTTACCGCAGTAGTAATGATACCCAGAAAGTCGCTGCCTCTCATCGTTACGGTATTTGCAGTATATGTGTTAACACCCGAAGGCACTGGCTCAGAACCGGAGGTCTGGGGTGGCTCTTTTGGTATGTGCTTTGCTCTGTTGTTAGAGGATGAATTTTCATGCGAAGCTGTAGTATGTTTTCTTAAATAAGTTGTAAGAGCTTCGTACTGAAGCAGTGTATGTAGATGCCCCGACTAAGTGAGGAGTGATGGTGCTCAGTTCAGATCATTAATAGCTGAGGATCATAACAAGATGTCACTGGTGACCAGGGGACTGACACTGTGATTTTCTTTTGCAGTTGGGTGCTCTCAGTCACCCAAAGGCATTGGTTAATTACCTGCTTGCTCCCTACCCGGGCTGAACTTGATGAACAGCATTTCCATGTGCAGCAGCCCAAGGAGCAGCAGATGTTCTGGGTTGCTTCCCAGGCCTCAGCCCATACTGCTGCCTGAACTTATGACCGAGCACTGAATGCCAGGAAGCAGGTGCCTGTTCTCGGGGTCTACCTGTCTCACCCTTTCCCACCTCGCCTGTACCACTCCCAGTCCTACCAGACTCCTTTGCTGCCCGCTCACCTCTAAATTTCTTTGCCCGCCCCTCTGAGCCCTCTGGGTGCGGTGAGGCGTTTGGGAGAAGCCGGGTGTTGTGGCCAGCTGCTTCCGATTGCCTCTCCGAAGAGTGGGTAGGTTTGTAAAGATGCTGTGTTCAGACAAGCGTGGTGTGTGTGTTTCGAATAATGGCTTAGAGTCAAAGTCCTCCTTCTAAGTGAAAATGTAAGCTGTAAACGTCTGGGGTCTTAAACTGATGAGAGGATAAGTGATCACTGGAGTGCTGGAGGTAAAAAAAGATAAAATGGAAATACTGCCATACGCAGTTAGAGACTGAGGGGAAGGTGATGAATCCAGAGAAGAGGAAGCCTGGAAGAGCTGTTAAATGCAGACTAGAGCTCTTTTTGCACAGCACAGTTTCTAGTGCGACACTGGTTTTTGTTAACTTTTGCTTTGAAATTAAATGAATTGCGTTTACTGGTGAGGTTAAGTGGCTGGATGTGTGTTATATTTTAAGAGGTGATGTCTTAGACCTATTTTTCTCTTTTCTTGAAGGCCTCGGTTGGCAGGCAGAGCCCGAGGGTGGTGCCGTACCCAGCCCACAGTCTATGTCCTGGAGAGCCTCGCCTTCAGAGTGCAGCAGGTAAACACAGTTTGAGTATGTGTCTGCTTGCTGGTCTGGTTTCCAGAGAAAGCTAGGCTGCTGTGATCAGCCCGTCTGTTCCCTTCTCCTTCCGACATCTCTCACACCCGTTGGGTGATTCCCATGCCATTTGACAGAGGAGGAAAGTCTTGAAGATGCCAGAGCTCCTACAAGTGTCCATTTGCCCGTTCTTGCAGTAAGAGGCAATTATCCTAAAAATGCCTTGGGCAAAGGAAAGGCTGCAGTGTGCATTTCCATGTAACACTAGTGAATCCAGTCAGGAGAGACACACAAATGCTCAGAAAACGCTCAGACTCAGCTTTCAGTCAGTTGTGGGACTTGCATGTGCAGAGAGCCAGGCTTTGCGATTCAGCACTCGCAGCGTGACTTCGTTCGGTGGTGTTCCCCAGCCTCTCTCACTCCTGCCTTCATCTCTTCCTCTGGCTTATCTGGGCTGCACACACCCAAGAGATCATCCCAAGCTTTGTTGCATCTGAAGCTTTGGTCCAGGGTGGTGCTAGTGTCTGACTTCTAATCCCTGCAGTTGTGTCAATGGGCTCAGCTGATCATCGACTGAACCTGGCAGAGATCCTTTCACAGAACTATGGTGTACGGGAAGAAAGGGAGGAAGAAGATGATACTCAGGAGAAGCAGAAATCTTTAGAAGAGCTGGAGAAGAGTCTTGGCGACTCTCAGGTAAAGGCAGCAAGGGACGGGGAGGGAAGTTACCTGCTGGGTTTTGTTGTGCACTTTTACAGCACTGGTGCCGAAGATCTGTGTGAGAAACTGTGCCTGGCTCAGCTGGCAGCGCGCTGTGTTTAGGTTCACCCGTCGATGAGTCTTAGGTTTGCGTTTGGGTAGGAAGGGGTGGTTTTGGGAACAGGGAACAGCAGTCAGTTTGGAGGCTTCCACTGCCGAGGGGTCTGATGAGGTCTTGGCTCACCTTGCCCAAGGGCCATCACCTGTTGGGCGTACGTCCAGTGAGTGTTCCACAGTGGAGGAACCGCAAAGGTGAAATGACGTGCTCCTGCTGCGGGTGGTCCCATGGAGACCTCGTGGAACACAGAGCGTGTTCCTGGTGACACAGACCGTCTCCTCAGGTCAGGCACAAGGCTAATAATGGGGATGTGCTTGACAGTGTTGCTCTGGGGTGAAAGTTCCTGGCTTCTCCATGCCTTTGGTGAGTGTTCCACAGTGGAGGAACCGCAAAGGTGAAATGACGTGCTCCTGCTGCGGGTGGTCCCATGGAGACCTCGTGGAACACAGAGCGTGTTCCTGGTGACACAGACCGTCTCCTCAGGTCAGGCACAAGGCTAATAATGGGGATGTGCTTGACAGTGTTGCTCTGGGGTGAAAGTTCCTGGCTTCTCCATGCCTTTGAGAAGACCAGGTTGTGGTGGGTCCTGGTGGACCATGCCTCCTTCATTGTGCAGCGTTGCCCAAGGCCCCCAGAGGAGCAGAGCTGCCTCGACTGCCTCTGCATATCTCTGTGTTCACTGCAGCTGGTGTTGTACTTGGTGATCGTTCCTTTCCTGATGAAACTTTGTCCTCCTCTTGCTCAGAGCAGTGAAATGCCATTTGAGGAGCTGCTTGCACTTTATGGCTATGAGGCATCGGATCCCATCTCGGAGCAGGACAGCGAGAGCAATGATATTACTCCAAATCTCCCAGATATGACTCTGGATAAGGTAAGGGCCACTGTGCGTGTGGGTGCGTGCCCTCAGCCTGCGCTCTGGGTTACTGTGCTGTCATGAAGCTTGAGATGCCTGGTAGCTCTTCCCAGGCAGAGTTTGACTAATGCCAGGGGAAGGGGCCTGCCCAGTTCTGGTGTCCCCGTGAGTAATGCCAGGTGTAGAAATGTGCGTGTAAGGAGTTCAGAGGAGACCAAGGAAAGGATAGCTCTTTCATAAAGAACACGCTGAAAACTCTCTGAGTTACACCTGTTTGCATGTAGATGTGGGTTTGTGTAGAGTCAGGGGAGGTTTGTATCTTCCCAGGTAAAGTTATGGCTCCTCCTGTACTAGCTGAAGTCTAAAAAGTTTTGGTTTTTTTCCTTCCCCCTTCTTTGAGGTATTTGCTGGGTGTAGAGCGTGGAACTCCACAGAAAGTGCCTCTTGTTCATCCTCACTCTGGCTTCCATAGGAAGCCACCCTCGAAGCTTGTAGAAGTGCTTCTAGGGAAAATAATCTAGGGGTGATGGGGTGTGAGAGAGAGAATCTATCTTTGGACAAGCTGTGGGAGGGTGAGGAGATCTGTGGATGCAGCCACCCTTGGCCAGAAATGCTTTACTCTAGACCATACCCTCCTCATAAGTTTTTTTTTTAATTTAAAAATATTTTTTACTTTCTTGTTGTTGTTAAAAGGAACAAATAGCGAAGGATTTGCTTTCAGGGGAAGAAGAGGAGGAGACACAGTCTTCAGCTGATGATCTGACTCCATCTGTCACATCCCACGATGCATCGGACCTATTCCCCAACCAGCCTGGCTGTACGTGTCACTTATTTCTAAGTAATTGCTTTTCACTTAGATGGGATGTGCAGGATAGGGCTAAAATGTTTTTCTTTCTTTTGTCACTTAGTTTCATGATATCAGCTTTCCACTTTCCTTCTAGGGGCTGCAAATAAACCTGAGTGCTGGAGGTGTTACTGAGCATTAGTTAGGATATGTGGCATGTGTATGCTCCCTAGGTGAGAGGAGAATTGTCTCTCGTTGTAACTCATAACTGAGAAAGTGAGAACTGTTTTGCTCCTGGCAGTCTGAAAGATCAGTACTCTAAAAGTGAATAAATTCAGTAGTACTAGTGGTATGATATGTTGTGGCAGTTCCTATATATTGGAATATTCCTGTGTGGGAAGCCAAACTGCAGGAGTGAGGCGCAGCACAAAGTGATCTTATTCCTTCTGCTGATCTGCAAAATGGAGTCTGAGCTCCTCAGGCTGGTGGGCACCACCCACAGGGCAAGCGCGCAAATCCTATTTAGAAGGAGAAAACTAAAATCTGGGTAAGTTGTCACTGCAGACCATGCTGAAAGTTACTTCAGGACAGAAAATGAAGGGAAGGAGAGGGAACATAGAGCAATAGGAAAAAAACCCCACAGTTCATAACTGCAGACCTTTTCCTTTCCCACAAAGCAAACAACTTCCTTGCTGATGAAGACAAAGAGCCCTGTTCATCTCCATGTGCTTCCTCCATGGCTGAGGATTCCGAGGAGGATTCCATTCCATCCAACGAGTGTAAGAAGGTAAACGATCAAAGCATGTTGGGAAGGGGAGCTCACGCCATGGGCCTGAGTCTGAGGAAAGCAGGGCACCAAAGCACTGTGCCGTTTCCTCAAGAAATTTTCTTTTATTTTCTTTTGCTCAGCGCCTTGTATTTTGTGGAAGGCAGTGGCAGATGTAGGTTTTTTTAAATACAGTCTTGAAATCTGTATCTGAAATTATCTTATGCTTCACGTACAGAAAACGCTGTTGTGCCTTGGTAAATTAAAACCGTGGCCTGTAGCCCTGTGAGGGTGAAATGCTGTGCAGTATTCCCAGCAGGATTTACTGAGCGGGAACCATCTCAACGAAAGAGAGGAGCAGGCTTCCAAATTCAGTTCATTCTGGTTGTGAAGGTTGCAGGAACACTGCTGCATTTCTTTATCTCCAGCTTTAGCTGCTCGCTGTGTATCTATAACATAAAAACTATGTAAATGCCTACGATCCCCAGAGCGTGGTCGGAAGTAAATCTTCTTAGTTACCCTATGAAATAGTCAGGGCTCCCTGGAAGCAGTAGTGCTGGTGGGGCCTACCGAGATAGAAATCAGCCTCGTGGTGTTGTAGTCCCTAAATCGCAAAGCACAGCTCGGTGCCTTCCTGGAGTGTTTTCCCTTTCGATTTACTCGCCTCTCTGTGGTGACGTTTCAGGAGATCATGGTTGGGCCTCAGTACCAAGCCAATGTTCCCATCCTCCACCTAAACAGGCACGGTGAAAAAGGTAAGGCGACTTGCTTTTTGTGTCTTGTCTGGATGTAGGGCTGCCAGCCTGGGCATCTGATGGGGCCCTGCTTCATCCGTTCTGCTCCGTATCTCTGGGTTTGGCATTAACACCAAAATTCACACCTGAGCTGGCTTTGAACTAGTCTGTTTGAACAGGACTGGTAACGCAGAGACAGAAGCCAAGAAGCTCAGTGAGAACCTTGTTGGTGTGGCAGGTTTGGAGAAGGGGGTCTCAGCTGCAGCCAAAGAGAAGGGATACCCTCTGGAAATATTCTACTTTATTTTTCTTTTACATCTTCCTTAACTAGCCAGGTTATTTTCATTCAGCACTCCCTGGAGCTGACTGTCTCTGATTTGATGGGATGCCTGCAGAGGGGATGAAGGTGCCTTGGTTTGCAGATGGCACCTGATAACTAGTGAAAGACCAGCACCAGCCTGTTGAGTGATGGTTAAAAGAAAGCCACATCTTGAGAAATTACTTCCTCATTTCTAGTTCTTTTATCCTAGCAGACTGGGCAACTTAATTGAAGGAGATAAAAGTTACCAGCTTTGTTGGTGCTATTTCAGATTTACCCAGTACAGTTTGCAGGACTTTGCACTGTCAATTTTTTGGTGCTCTCTGCCTTCTGTATTGAAGACGACAGATTTAGTGCATGTTTCCCATACTGTATGTTTGCACCAGTGTGAAATGAAAGGAAACTGGTAGTAGATCCCAACAGGGATCTTTTAGGTCCTTTCTGTAGCCTCTGACCTGATTTTGGTGATTCTGCAGGGCAGAAGAGTTTGTTCCTTTGCCTGTAGAGATGCCTTAAGTACAGGGTGTGCTAATGTTATCTGAATAGAAGCAGCTCAATATTTCTGATTGGTTTTTATTGCAGAGCGTCTTCTTGCTTTCCTCTGTGCTTTTATTTTACTTTGTCTCTTTGCATTGTTGTGTGCCCTGTCCTTCTGGACTGAGCCTTGGAAGCTGAAAGGGGCAAGAATCATTTAGTGATGCAGTGCGCTCCTGCGATCCTGCGTGGGTGGAGCAGCTCAGGAGGGGCATTACAAGCTATCACAGGGGAGCAGCTGCTTAGTTTTGCATCTAGGGCAGGGTTATAGCTCAGCCGCCTTCGCCTCCCACTCCTTTTGTTTGCTGTGTGCTGGAAAAGACACCTTAGAACCTCAGCGGGGTTTAGCTGCCAGGACTAATGAATCAGAGCAACAGTCTTTGAGCACATGGGGACAAAAACCTTGTCAACCAACCCTTCTGAAGAGCTGAAAGCAAGCTGAGCCTGCTCACAGGGCTCTAAAAGAGGTATGAAGAGTATTAAGCTTATCTGCCTCCACAATCAGGAGGGAAGATGCAGTACCTTCACAGAGATGGTTTTTGTCTCTAGAGCTGGGTTGCAGTAGCAAGTGAAGATTTCTTCCCTGCTTTTTTCTCTCCCGTGCACGTTCACGCAGACTGTTTCTCAAAAGCAACAGAATTCTCTGTTGATTAACTTATTTCAGTGCTTTTTCTGTTAGCCTACGAGAATGAAGATCAGCTGCTTTGGGACCCAAACATACTCCCTGAGAGAGAAGTTGAAGAGTTCCTGTACCGGGCAGTGAAGCGGCGATGGGAGGAGCTGTCTGGCAGCAGCCTGCCAGAGGGAGAGACGGTGAAGGACAACGAGCAGGTACGTGGGGGCTTCTTGCCACCCAGCGAAACTCTGACGGTGCTGGCGTCAGAGCGTGGCGCTTCCTGTGGAGTGAGAGACCCACCTAAAAGAGAATGAGCGCTCGCTCCACCGATCCTCTGCTTCGCGGGTAAGCGAGGGTGTGCTGCCTCGCTGCCGTCTCAGCAGGCTGATCACGCTTCTGCTGGGGAGACTGGAAAAGGCTGTAGTGGGCCTGACCACGGGCCTGTCTGGCTGAGTACTGTGCTTCCAGCTCCGCGACAGGTGTTTGTGGAGAGGGGGTAGCGGACTGGGCGACCTGAGAATGGGCACTGCTATGGCTGCGTTGTCCTGGTATCCCCAAATCCCC